CCACATTGGAACATAATCATCATGAAACCATTCCCATCACATTATCCTTCACCTCAAGTAACCCTCAAACTATACCTTGTGCAATGTATGGGTAGCGTCCCATACCACTAGCTACAGTAAGGTTACACCTTAAGGTCACCAAAAGTGAATTTACCATTCATCCTTCCCACCTTTACACAATAAAGCATATAAGAGACAAACATTACATGAGTCACATCATCACATTAAGACCAACATCTAAGACAACTCTAAGTTATACTTGTGCACTGTGCAAGTAGCATCCCATACTACTACTCACACTAAGTACTCCTTTGAAGTCACCATAGACAAGGCACATTCATATACAATAAGTCATGACAAGGAAGTAATTCCTAATGCAATCCAAGTAGCGCATGCATCATCTCAATTAATCATAAGTCACATTCTGCATTAACTTCATTACATTAAGAGCACCTTCATTCATTAGACATTAGATCAACATTCTTCATTACCATCATAATAAGTGCCTATTCATTTCATTTAACTTTATAAAGGAACACACCATGTATCCTTTCAAATCCTACTTGTGCAATGCATAGATGGCGTCGCATACCACCACCCACACTAAGTACTGCATCCTTGAGAAGCCATACTTCATTAACATTATTGTGGGGGGTAAGCCTTAACCGATATAGACCATGTGAACTTGACATGAAATCCCGGTGTCACCCTCACCAAGTAAAGGGATTCCTACTTGCCTAAGGTAGGACTATTGTTTCTATAGCTTAAGTGGATCAATAGTTCAAGCACAATTCTACTTCAACATGTAAATTATCCATAATTTTCCCTTACAAGGCCATGATCATAATTCACCAACAAACCTTCAATTTATCATAATTAAGAGATACATAATGATACAATTCAATAACCCAAAGAAATTTAGACAATTTCCATTCATAAGCTTTCATAATCATCAAACCCACTTCACAAACGAACAATTTTGAAATTGAGAGAATTTATGAACCAGTATTTTTATCGTAAATCATCAATTTAAACACTAATACAATCATAATATGACATTAGAAACCTTTTGAAATCGTTTGATGAAAGAACCCATGAGATTGAGTAAAACCCTAGGTTTTTGATAACTTCAAATCACCTTTGAATTGGCTCCTTGAATGAAAAGTTAGACAAGGATGAAAAACAACCATACATTGATATTTATTCCCTACGAAATTTGAGGAAGAAACACTTTGAATCCACAAACCCTAGCTTCAATGGCTCCCTTCTTCTTCCTTGAGTTTAGTGAGAGAAATTTTGGGAGAGAGAAGAACTTTGGGGTTTTGATTTGGATGTTTTGAATAAAGGAGTAAATGGCTTGTTAATGGACTTGAAACTATATATACTAATGATATAAACCATTTAAAATCAATCCTACATAATAAAATATTAAAACAAAATTACTTAAAAACCCCTAACTTGGGCTGCCCCGTCAGGGACCAAGTCCATGTCTACGTTCCATGAAAAGGGACCACAGCCCATGGTGGTGCCCATGGTCCTCTAGGCGTTGTGAGCCCTTGCCCTGCCAATCCCTAAGATGCTAAGGCATTTTCACGGCCACTTCTACGGGCCGTGGTTAAGACCACTTACCGTGGAGTGTTCTACAAAGTTTGGGCAGTAGCTTGGCCAAAATGCCTTTCCTCCCGTACCACCAAGTGACCTTCATGGACACTTCTACTAACCGTGGTCAATGCCAATGACCGTGAAGTGGTCTGTGGATTTAGGACAGTGCTTGGCCAAGGTTGGACAAGCCTTGGCCTTGCCCCCTTGGCTTGGTACTTTCCCTTGCAACCCTTAACCAATGTTAAAACGGCTATTTCAACTACAGAGTATATCATATACCTTGATGTTGATTCACTAAACTCTATCAAACAAGGCTCGGGACAATATTACACAACATGAAACCTCATTACATTCTCAACACAAAGTCGTTAGGCTCTAGTTTTAGTTATTCATTTTACGGGTCATTACATTTACATTCAGCCCCATTACAAGCCTTGAGAAGACCTTTTTGATCTTGAGTGAGCTGAAACAAGTGTTGATTGGAAAATAAGAGCAAACCTATGGGTGAAGTCATGCATTTGTTCTTCTTTGTGAGAATGAGAGTTGTATGTGATTCTGGTACTATAAATCGTTGCACCATTGTGTGTGAATACGAAATCATTCTTTGTGTGAGGGCATTTGTGTACCTTTGTTGAGCTTGAACTTGCATTTGAAGCAAGTATTAGGAACTTGAGAATCTTTGATAATGGTGAGTCACAACTTGAATCTTTGAGTGCACAATTGATCCTTACATGAGTATGTTGATTTTTTTTGTGCGCATTCATGATTGAGTCTTCGGTAGCACTGTTTGAGACATCTTTTTTGAACTGCTGAACTTGAGTTTAACTTGAGGACAAGCAAAAGTTTAAGTTAGGGGTGTTGATGAGTCCACGATTTGGACTCATTTAGGGGTTTATTTGGATAGATTTAGTGTCCTCAAATGCTTCTTTTGTGCCAATAACTGATGTAAATTCCTTGATTTCCAGGTATTTGGTTTGAGGAACAAAGCATGGATACTAATTTACAAAAAGGAATGAAGCGAGCTAAAAGAACGAAGAAAAGAAGGCCTGGTGATCGCCAAGTCCCTTTGATGAGTCGTCGAATCGCCATTACCTCACCTAAAGTTCCAGTGCACCAAGCCCAGATGGAGAAAATCAAATCGGTGAGAGAAAGGAGTAGTCGGTGTGTCACCGAGTGGTTCCGCAATGCAGTGTTGGATCACCCTAAGTTACAGAACTTGAGGAAGCTTAAGGCCAAAGAAAAAAGGCGATGGAACTAACAAAAGGGAGGGTCGCCGAGATGATCGGTGATACCTACTTACTGCGCCAATGGTCCTTCGTAGCATATTTTTGGCGACTACAAATATGTTTTTGAACATCTAGTTTTAGGATCCATCAATTTTAAATCGATTATCATTATTATTAATTGAGAGATTGAACTCTGAGTATTGAGAATAAGATTTTCCTTAGCTTTAAAGAATTGAAGTTTTCCATTTCTGAGAAATTGGAAGTGGGTCTTGATTCTTCAATTTGGACCTTTGTAAAGACGAAATTAATCATACCCATTTGATAGAAATACAATTTGGTAACAATTTTTATCTTTTTATGATGTCTAGCTAAAACACCAATTCTTGGGGTGTGATTATGGGTTGATTTAGCTTATGGGTATTGCTAATTGTTAGTTTAAATGCTATTTAAAGTGATTTTAATCATTAATTGTGGTTAAAATTAAAGGATTGTAGTTGCAAATGCAGTCTTACCTTCATGTTTTTGCTTGCTCGAGAGAGAGGTTTTAAAACAAAAATTATTGATTAATGGTCTATAGCTATTGGGTTTTCAAAGGTTCACCTCGAGAGTGTGAATACTAAACCCTTTTTCCACATATTCAGCTCGAGAGAGTTAAGGGACTAAGGCGTAGGTTGTTCGTATTTGCTTGCTTGTTGGTGTTCTAGAGAAACCGACTTGTTTCAGGGTAAATTGTTTGAGAAAAAGTTTACCTCCCCTATAGTCTAGCATATTCACTAATTTACAGCTATTTACTAACAATTGTGACTACCCATTTATCTATATTAGCCTATAATCAAATCATATCCTAAGCACCCGTCTCATTATTGTTATTCCGTATTATTTGTTGTTGCTGTAGTTGATAATTTACAACCAACCCCCCCCCCCCCGTTATTTGACATTCGTTTCATCCCCTAATTCTAATTATGTTTTTCTTCGATAATGTTTACTCCTATGATTGACTTAAGCATATTCGTACTTTTCTATTGAATCTTAAACACGTACCACTCCATGTGTGATTCATCCACAACTCATTTAGTTGGGCTATATACTGACTAACGATCGTTGACGCTTAGAACTGCATTAAGTGTCCTTGATAATGTTATTCAATCATTTTCTCCCAAGGGGGAGATGGTGTACTTCGCTATCAGGGTCGATTATGTGTTCCTAAGATGGGCGAGTTGAGACAACAGATTCTTGCAGAAGCCCATAACTCCAGATATTCCATTCATCCAGGCACCACTAAGATGTACCGTGATCTGTGGGAGATCTTCTGGTGGAATGGTATGAAAAGGGATATAGCAAATTTTGTGGCAAAGTGCCCTAATTGCCAGCAAGTGATGGTAGAACATCAGAAACTAGGAGGTATGACTCAAACGATCAACATTCCTACTTGGAAGTGGAAAGTGAACAACATGGACTTCATCACAGGTTTACCTCGTACTCACAGACAACATGGCTCCATTTGGGTGATAGTTCATAGGGTCACTAAGTCTTCACGCTCTTTGGCTGTTAAGACTACAGATTCGAGGGAGGACTACGCCAAACTTTACACTAATGAGATAGTCAGGTTGCATGTAGTTCCTTTGTCTATCATCTCAGAGAGAGGTCCTCAGTTCACCACTAATTTCTGTAAGTCATTTAAGAAAGGTCTTGGTACTCAGGTTACTCTTAGCATGTAACGACCCTCAAAATGAAGTAGGGTAAACTAGAGCCTCACATGGGTTTTATGCGTTAATAAATTGTTAAAAATAATGAAGAATAGCCTTTTCAGTCAGTTTTAAAGAGTTTAGAAGTCAAACGTCAAGGGACAATCAAGACGTTTGGAAACTAGTCTTTTACGTGTTGGTGTGTTCTAGTATGTTGTTCATGTTTTTATGTGTTGTTTGGAGACTAAATCAGTGTAGGTGACCCTAATATCTTAATAAATGTTTTTAGGGTCAAAACATTCGGGTACGACTCCCCGGGACCACCCTAAGTGTCCCCGAGGAGGACCCTAACCCTTGGCCAAACAAGTTGCCAAGGCATCTTGAAGTTGTTCATGGAGGGAGTGGCTCCGCGTCGCGGACCTCTCCACAAACGGCCAAAAATTGGCTCCACGTTGTGAAGACACCACGGACTCTACTTTCGCAGAATTTAATCTCCAGAAACTCCATGGAACACCTTCGCATCGCGGACTTGGTTCCCGATGAAATCTGCGAAAATAAAACTCAAGTTTGACCTGTTTAAAAGGTCCAAATAAGTGAGGGGTGGTTTGGGTACTTTGGGTAATTATTATAAACGGTTATTCTACCTATTTTAGGGTATTTTAAATTGGTTAAAACCCCAAAACCTAGAATTAGACCCCATTCTTCAAAATGACCCTTCCCTTTCAAAATAGATTCTCTCACAAACCCCATTGAAGACCTTGATGAAGCTCAAGCTAGAAGATGGGTTTTCAACTGATTTCTTCTTCAATTTCATAGGTCTTTAATAATTAAGGTATGGTAACTCTTGATTCTTGAATAACCTCTCATTCAAGGAGTTCTATCAAAGATTTTCGAAAGTGATTCAAAGACCAAAATTCCTAATTTTCAGTCTAAACATGGGTCCCTTGTCAAATGATTTTATAAAACATTCTATTGATGAATTAATGTGGAATTAAGGTTTATAAGATAATATTCAAAGGAATTCTTGAAGAATCCGTTCTCCCCAAATTCCCAAAAATTGGCCTATGATGTGGGTCTTTGTGAATATGATCTCTATTGGTGAAATTATGTTTAGATTACATTGTATTGGTGTTTCCTATGATTATATATACTTATTCATGTTGAATTGTTAGTATATTGATGAGTTGAGAATTATGGCCTTATGGGCAAAGTTATGGGTTGATCCCTTTGTTTATAGAATTGTACTTAGATTATGTTGATGTTATTGAATTAAATTGTTGATTCCTATTGCTATCTATGTCAATTGATTATGAATTGTTTAGGATTGATCCATGGAGATCATGGCTTGGAGAATTGGTAAGTTGACCTAACTTCTAGTCTATAGTATGAGAATTGATGTTGTGTGGTTTGGTCCACTTATGGTGGCGGTCTTTACTTCTTGTCTATCTATGCATGTTGAGATAATCGCCTTGAAGGCAATGGATGTGAAGTGAATTGATGATTATGATGCATATGTTTATGTAGTTGTGCTATGAAGGTTATGTATGAAATCCTCAATGCTAGCATGATGTTTAAAGTGTGTTGATGATGAGCAGTATAATGTGAATGATAATGTTAGGGATAAGGTGTGGTCTACATGATTTATTATGCTAAGTACTATCGTGGAATGACCCCTACCTATATGACCCCTATATGAATGTGTGATCATATACATGTTAGGAGTACCTATTCAATGTTAAATGAGTCTTTGTCTCCTTTGATGAAGCGTGGGTGGGTGTGTCGTCTAGAATTCCTAAAGGCTTTATATGTGAATTGCTCATGATTTGGGGACATTGTGAATGTGTTGTGATCCCTTGAAGGGAAGTTCACTCAATATCAATGTGGTTGATATTATGTCACTATGAGGACCAATATGCACACACACACTCTACATGTATAGCTATGAATATGATGTATTATGTTGTCTATTGAAAGGTTAACTCTTATATGCACCCTTACATCTTATTATGCGTGCAAAGTGTATGATTAGCAAGGTATGAATATTTGTTGCATAAAGGTGTTTATGTGAAAGGCTTTCTCACATATGTACACACACAAATGAGTGAATAAGGTTTATGATAATCTAGTGAAAGTGAGTCTCTTGAAAGGTTTCCTCAATTGTACTCTAAACTAGACTATTTTATGAATATGGTATGACTATGTGAAAGGTCACTCTCACATAATGTAGGTTGTATGATGAAAGGTCATTCTCATCTTAGAAATATTTGAGCTATATGATATGAGAGATTAAGTCCCTAAAGCCTACGTCATGAACTAATGTTAAATAATGTCTTAAAGATGTTTATAAAGGGATTTGGAGCTTAGCATCGAGTGAACATGAAAAATGAGAGTGGGGGCTTCATGTTTATGTAACGACCCGAGAGCATCCCTAGCCGTTACATGCGTATTCGACCTCTCGGAGGTCTTATAGCAGCCTTAGCATTCATTCATCGCACAAATCACAAAATCACTAAGAATTTAAAACGTTTATTCAATAAAACATCAATACGCAAGCGGAACTACTAAATCTTTTTAACCAATCATAACAAGAACTTAAAACGTACTAAGGGACACGGCCCTTTACAAATGTAATGAAACTTAAGTGTCTATTAAAATGACTAAGAAACATCTAAACATAGTCCTCGAATCTTGAGTACATACCAAAGGCTTGGAAGAGTGAAGCAATCCAAGCAACTGCAAAGCACAATCTACTCCTAGTTACCATAACCTACACTTGTAGTAAAATAGAAGAAAGGGGTTAGTACAACACACGTACTAAGTATGAGGATATGCAAAACATGCTAAAAGGGACATTTGTTTGGAAGCTATGATTTTCATGCCATTTTGATAAATACCTCATGAACATCAACATAATAGGCACCTTACAAGTCACAACCAACAATACAAAGTCATATGCTTCACAATACATCAAAAGCATACATAACCCATTTACCTTTACCTTCTTGTCTTAGACCTCCACCTTAAGTAATCCTTAAGCAATACCTTTGTGCAATGTATGGGAAAAGTCCCATACCATCACCCACACTAAGGCACAACTCTAAGGTCACACAAAGTGCACTTACCATGCATACCTCATCCTTCACCAATTAATCACATAAGACATATAAGCACATAATCCAACAAGTCACTTCATTAAACTGAACACTCATCAAATGTCATCCCAAGACTCACCTAAGTAATACATGGTAAGGCAGCCCATACTACCTCTCCATACCACGCCCAAGTGATCCTTAAGGCTACACAAGACAAGCTCCATTCACATCTCAACATACATCGTTCATTTAATCTAATGTATTTAGGCAACTTCACTCATTAATGACATAAAATCATCACATACATTCAATTACACATAAGCACTTACATTTAATTCATTATGACTCACTTTCACATTAGCATGCTCAAAGACCAACAATTTCATCAATTAGCCCAATAAGAATCATTCATTCATCATCATTACTAAGACACACCAAGATCTCCCTTAAATGTCTACTTGTGCCATGTCTAGATGATGTCTCATTCAACAACCTATCCTAAGTAGTACATCCGTAAGAGACCCTAGTTCATTCATTCATTCATTAATGTGGGGGAAGAGCGTAAACTGACATAGACCATGGAGCTTGACATGGAATCCCGGTAGTAACCCTTATCGGATGAGGGATCCCCACTTGCCTAAGGTAGGGTCATTCTTTTAGCCTTTACGTGGTAGAGACCACTAGCTACTCCTATGTGGGCACATAGTTAATGGATAAAACGATTGCTTCTAAGTACTCTCATCTCAACTCACGAAGGAGCACCAATGTCAAGGGTTCCTACTAAATATTCACATCTCAACTAACGAAGGAGTATCCACCCATCTTAATATCCTCTCGGTGCTAGACATTACTCCCCCATGGAGTTGGACATTCATTTCATTCATCATTTAGAGATAATGATTGCTACTAAGTACTCCCATCTCAACTCACGAAGGAGTACTCATCCTAACCCACATTCATTCATTCAGGAAGCTCTTGGATTCAAAGATGAGAAAACCTTTCATCTAGGAACCCCATTCATTTAAAGGAGTACTTTATGAAACTATCCTTAGAATAGACCCAACTTTCATTCATTAGCATTAAATCCCATTCTTTTCATTCATCCTCACATTCTTTCATTCATTCTTCACTTGGTGTGAGAGTAGTTAAACATGGTCTATCCTAACCTCACCTTCATTATAAGTCATTCAAAGAAGACAACAACCAAGCATAACACATAAAGTCTCTACATAAGATCACCTTTCATGCTCCTAGACCATACCCAATTCACATCATATCACATTACCTTTACATAATCAACATTCACTACAAGAAAACTGTTTATTAAAGACCAACATTTAGAGACGAGGTTATAATATGGTCCCTAATACTATACTTATAGGGACAATATTTTTTTCTAGTCTTTAATTTTAACTATTATTTTTGAAGTTAGCGAACACTCTAAATTTGATTCATAAAAGAATAAACATCTCGTCCCTAATGATATATTTTTAAAGGAAATAAGTGACAATGTCAAAAGAAACAAAAAATGTATTTATTAACACCTCCTCGTTCACATAATAAAACCCTATCATTTCTATTTTAAAGCTTAGAAAGGGCATGGGCTCTCTAAATTCCTCTCTCAAAGTCGGCAGTCTCATTTGGTTCTGTCTAAAGTGGCTGAAAATTCGGAAATCGAATGACAAGATATGTCTATTTGAAAAGGTTTGTCTATTTTCTTCGTCTTTTCATTTTTGGGTTTAAAACAATATTTTTGTTTCTCGCTGAATAGTTCCTGTTGAGAATCATAGTCTTTGAAATTGGTTCTATTTAATACTGATTGTTTTGGCGTGAGGTCTATAACTTCGAGTATTGGGCTTGCTCTGAAGAATTGTGGCTAGGGTTTGATATTAAAAAAAGGGCTTTGAGGGAAAGGAGGATTTGGGAATGACAATTGATCCCTTTCATTGTTTGGTTCAGATGAGCAAATAATTTTAGGAAACAAAAGTATTTCCTTTTGAAACGTCCTTTAAGACGCAAGTATGAACACTTGTGTTTTAAGGATGACGAGAAAGTATGTCTGAGAAAATAAAATATTCTGGTGTTTGAGCTTCCCACTATGTCTGGACAAATGTGGATCCAATATTTAAATTTAATGGGTTCAACTTTTAAGATTTTCCGCATTGAACTCATTGTACTGTTAAAATTATGAGTTCAAATCTAAAATTTGTTGAGATTTTAGTAGGTTGACACATATATATCTATACTCAGTTATGGATCAGCTAAACCCACCGCAAAAAAAACTACTGCCCCTGTGTCTGGATCTTTAGTTTAATTCTGTGGAATAGTTTTGTTTGCATGTCAAAAAAATTCACTGCTTAGAACACCTTTATTTGCTAGTCTTGCTAGTTTGAGAGTGAAATCACAACTTTTAAGGACTGCCCGTGTGAGATATGCTTTTCACTAAGCATGTGGTATATGTTCTTAATATCTAGTTAACCTTGCCATATATAACAATGTGAACTAAAGAAACCTCTCTGATTAAGAAATATATGTAAGTGTTTGGCTATGTTTTATAACAACGATAAGCACAGGGTTGCTCAAGGTTTAAAATGTTTCACACTTTTGACATAGACTAACTTTTAAGTTTCCCCTGCATCAAACAAACATACACATATGTAACGTTGTGGATCAACAAAGTTTGAGATACACCATAAAGGTCTATTATCGTTAGAATTTTATCTTTTAGGCGTGTTTATACTTAAATTCATTTTGTTACTATTTTTTATACATCATATGGTTTGACACTTGAATCATTTTTCTGAAAGTCCACAAAGCTATGTGATTTGGGGTTGTCAAATTTTTTGTCAATGGCTGATAGAGCCCATGATCCGGCCATCAAGACAATCACTGGGAAAATTGTCCAAGAGCCAATGACCTTCTATGTCATCCCTTTTCTAGTCGATCTTCACCATTTGAAATTTCAAAGATGACCCTATGCATATGTGAATCTCTACATAATTTTGCCTTCATTATTGACCCTTTTTCTTGTAGTGATTACTGAAAACAACAATCATCCAATTTTGCCTACAAGGCCATGATCACAACATGCTTATAAAGTAAACACCTCCCCAGTTTCAAAGGGATCAAACCTCATAATTCTAACATCTACAATATATATATATATATATATATATATATATATATATATATATATATTGATAATACTAGAATCACAAATCTATTCACAACTTCATCATCATCATCATAAACTTTGGGTTGCCCATTCAAGACCAACATCCCATATAACACAATTGACCATCAATTACTCATAATTAAATATAGAACGATTCATAAATCAATAGCCCATAACAATCTACACATTAATATCACATTATTAGCTCATATTCATTAGACCCACTTTAGACCCAAAAATTAGTATTTCAAGATATGCAAGAGTTTGTGGAGTTTTTTTTATCTTAAAACCATCAATATTAACATAAATCATCATTTGAAATACTTTCATGCAAGAACCCAAGCTTATAATCGAAATTGGGGTTTTTAATGTTTTTAAAAAAAACATTGAAATCACTTTGATTTGGCTCTTTGATTGAAAGGAGAATCAAAGATAAAATCCCCATACCTTTGTGATTAATTTCCATAGGAATTTAAAGGAGAAATCAGTAGGAACCCATCTCCTAGCTTGAAGCTTCATCAATGTCTTCCATGGAGTTTTAGAGAGAGAATTTATTTGAGAGGGAAGGTTCAATTGAATAATAAGGTCTAATTCTAGGTTAAAGAGTTTTAACTAACTTAAAATACCCAAAAATAGGTAAAATAGTCGTCTATGGTCTAATTAGAACGTGGGGTGAATTGGTAAATTCACCCCTCACTTGGCCGAAACTTGGCAGTGAAACAGGGCACCAATCGACTGCCACTATTGACGGACCGTCCTGGTAGCTCGTCGTTTGGGATAGAGGCTCAGCATTTGAGGCTAAGCTCCCACAACTATGTGTGGAGCTACGCCCCCTATTGACGGGGCCTCAATGAACTGATGAGGCGTCACTCTGGACGTCGAACAAGACTGCCAACACACTGCCTAGGCAGCCTTTTATGCCAACATTTGGGTCCTCTCCAAAGACCCTTAGGGTGGTCCTTCGGGAGTCGTTCCCGGACGTTGGGACCCTAAACATGTCTATTAGGATAGTAGGGTCACCACCACTGATATTAGACTACATACGACACATAAAAACATGCAAGACACTCTAGAACACATTAGCACGCAAACAACGAGTTTTCGAACGTCTTAAACGTCTCTTTGACGTTTGACTTCAAATTCAACTAAACTGACCTATAAAATCATTTTAAAATATTTATACAAGTTTATCAACTACTAACACTCATGTGAAGCTCTAATTATCTTATTTCATTTTGAGGGGTGTTACAATATCCCCCACTTGGGAACATTCGACCTCGAATGACACTTCAAAAATTATAGAGTAAAGACTCTAGGACTATCCGCCCACAACAAGCGTGTAATATCTTTACTACAGCACACATCAAGGAGGAGACATCAACTCCACATAAAAGCATTACAACATGACTTTCATGGAATTCAAGGAAGTAGGAATAACATCTACCACTCAATATGCACAACATTTTACCATTTCTCATTTCTTTGGAGGAACTTCTTTCTCCATAGCATATCATGCTCATTATAACATTTATAGGCCCACCATACAATTTCTCTCAAAAGAACAATCATGCAACATCAAGATCACATCAAGGAATGCTCAACTAGGCATCTCATGGAGCAATTTAAACAATTCTTCATAAATGCATATAATTTATGAGGGATATAATCATGAAAACTCATTTATTTATTTATACAAGAATTCAACTAAAATATGCACATCATAAGAAGAATATGGAAACTCAATTCACATAAGACTCCAACATGCAACATGCTACTAAGAACTCTTTGTTTTCAAGCTTGAATTAGAATAGAAGGAAAAGATAAGGATATTAACAACCTTACTACTCAACTCATCATCCCCCACTTAGGGTAAACCCATCTAAGGTTATCATCAAACAACAAGGAAAAATTGACTTACCTTCATTCATTCCCTTATCCTTGTTAGCTTGAAGCACATAAAAACGACTCTTCTTAGGAGCATTTGGATCTGGGCCATCATGAGCAACTTGATTGGTCTCTTTTCCTTTTTCCTTAAGTGTAGGGAAATCTCTCATCTTATGACCCTTATTCCCACATCCAAAGCATTCATCTGTACCGGCAAGACACTTGCCCAAATGTTGCTTTCCACAAGTAGCACACCTAGGCCTCTCAAAAGTAGAACCACCTCCATTCCCTTTTTGATGTTTAGGGTTAGACACCCTATCATTGTTGACCATTGAAGAATCTTGGTTATAGAACCTCTTCTTAGACCTATATTGGTTTTGTTCATTCGGCCTAGCTCTCTTCATATCTCTATTCATCTTCCTAAGCTTTGTATCCTCAAGTTGGTAAGCTTAAACCATAAGCCTAGAGATATCCATATCATGATGGAGCATGGCCGTACGACACTCTTCTTCAACCAAACCGGAAACCCCCATCACAAAATTATTCATCCTAGCCCTAGAATTTGCTACAAAGGTAGGAGCATACTTAGAGAGTTGGGTAAACTTGAGAGAGTATTCCTTCACACTCATATTCCCTTGACGTAGGTTCATGAACTTAACCAACTTTTTCTCCCTCAACTATTAGGGGAAAAACCTTTCAAGAAAGGCCGTCTTAAACACTCCCCAATCTATTGGGTCAGCCTTTATAGGTCTCTCATCCCTCCATTGCTCAAACCACACTTGAGGTACATCCTTGAGTTGGTAAGAAGCCAACTCCGCCTTCTCCTTAGGAGTCACTCCCATTGCATCCACAATCTTAAACACCTCATCTATAAAGTTTTGTGGGTCCTTATCTATCTTAGAACCAAAGAAGGTAGGAGGGTTAATCCTTGTGAAATCCCTTAACCTTGAGGCCACGGTACTCTCAATAGCATTCACCCTAGGCCTCACATATATATTTTCTTGAGTAGTCATGGCACAGGCCAGGGAGAGAAAAGCCTTTCTAATCTCCTCATTTGTCATACCGGGGAACAACCGGAACAACATTCTCTTGCCCACCTAAATGAGCTTGGTCACCTTGCACTCTTTAGAGAGGAACTCCCTCATCATATATCTCTTCTTCCACTCTCCTCCAGTTAGCCCTCGTATTCATAGCCTATAAACACAAGAGACAAATTTAGAAAAGGACAGTTATAGACCAAACTCTAAGGCACGACATTAAGAATAATGAAAGAAAGTAAAACTTCTATCGTCCTATAGCCTCTCACTCATAGATGTGTCTCGACTCACACCGATGAAAAAGACTCTACTAGACGTGGCTTTCGAGACTTTGAACCTAAAAGTCATCTTTAAAACTTTATGCTCTGATACCAAGTTTGTAACGACCCGAGAGCACTCCCTAGCCATTACATGTGTATTCGACCTCTCGGAGGTCTTATACCTGCCTTAGCATTCATTCATTGCACAGATCATAAATCACTAAGAATTTAAAACTTTTATTCAATAAAACCATAAGACTTCAAAAGTCATCAACATTTGAAAACATCAATACGCAAGAGGAACTACTAAGTCACTTTAGCCAATCTTAAACAAGAACTTAAAACATACTAAGGGACACGACCCTTTACAAATGAAATGAAACTTAAGTGTCTATTAGAATGACTAAGAAACTTTTAAACAAAGTCCTCGAATCTTGACGACATACCAAAGACTTGGAAGAGTGTAGCAATCCAAGCAACTCCAAAGCACAATCTACTCCTAGTTACCACAACCTACACTTGTAGTAAAATAGAAGAAAGAGGTTAGTACAACACACGTACTATGTATGAGGATATGCAAAACATGCTAAAAGGGACATTTGTTTGGAAGTTGTGCTTTTCAGGCCATTTGATAAAAACTTCATCAACATCAACATAATAGGCACCTTACAAGCCACAACCAACAATACAAAGTCATATGCTTCACAATATATCATAAGCATCCATAACCCATTTACTTTTACCTTTTTGCCTTGGACCTCCACCTTAAGTAACCCTTAAGCAATACCTTTGTGCAATGTATGGGCAATGTCTCATACCATCACCCACACTAAGGCACCACCCTAAGGTCACACAAAATGCACTTATCATGCATACCTCATCCTTCACCAATTAATCACATAAGACATATAAGCACATAAGCCAACAAGTCACTTCATTAAACTAGAACACTCATCAAATGTTATCCCAAGACTCACCTAAGTAAGACATGGTGAGGCAGCCCATACTACCTCTCCATAGCACACCCAAGTGATCCTTAAGGCTACACAAAACAAGTTCCATTCACATCTCAACATTCATCGTTCATTCAACTTAATGCATTTAGGCAACTTCATTCATTAATGACATAAAATCATCACATACATTCAATTCTACAAAAGCACTTACATTCAATTCATTATGACTCACTTTCACATTAGCATGCTCAAAGACCAACACTTTCATTAATTAGCCCAATAATAAACATTCATTCATCATTATTACTAAGACACACCAAGATCTCCCTTAAATGTCTGCTTGTGCAATGTCTAGATGATGTCCCATTCCACCATCTATCCTAAGTAGTACATCCTTAAAAGACCCTAGTTAATTCATTCATTAATGTGGGGAATAGCGTAAACCGACATAGACTATGGAGCTTGACATGGAATCCCGATAGTAACCCTTACCGGATGAGGGATCCCCACTTGCCAAAGGTAGGGTCATACTTTTTAGCCTTTACGTGGTAGAGACCACTAGCTAGTCCTATGTGGGCACATAGTTAAGGAATAAAATGATTGCTTCTAAGTACTCTCATCTCAACTCACGAAGGAGGACTCATCTCAAGGGTTGCTACTAAATACTCACATCTCAACTAACGATGGAGTATCCACCCATCTTCATATCCTCTCGGTGCTAGACATTACTCCCCCATGTTGTTGGACATTAATTTCATTCATTCATCTAGGGATAAGGATTGCTACTAAGTACTCTCATCTCCACTCACGAAGGATTACTCATCCTAAACCAAATTCATTCATTAAGGAAGCTCTTGGATTCAAAGATGAGAAAACCTTTTATCTAGGAACCCCATTCATTTAAAGGAGTACTTTATGAGATTATCCTTACAATAGACCTAACTTTCTTTCATTAGCATTAACTCCCATTACTTTCATTCATCTTCACATTCTTTCATTATTTACTAGGTGTTAGAGTAGGTAAACATATTCTATCCTAACCTCACCTTCATTATAAGTCATTCAAAGAAGACAACAACCAAGCATAACACGTAAAGTCTCTACACAAGATCACTTTTCATGCTCTTAAACCATACCCAATTCACATCATACCACATTACCTTCATATAATCAACATTACTCAAAACAACAATCACCCAACTTTGTCTACAAGGCCATGATCACAACATGCTTATAAAGTAAACACCTCCCCACTTTCAAAGGGATCAAACCTCACAATTCTAACATCTACAATATATCTATATATATATATATTGATAATACTAGAATCACAAATCTATTCACAACTTCATCATCATCATCATAAACCTTGGGTCAGAATTGCCCATTCAAGACCAACATCCCATATAACACAATTGACCATCAATTCCTCATAATTAAATATAGAACAATTCATAAATCAATAGCCCATAATAATATACACATTAATATCACATTATTAGCTCATAATCAATAGACCCAAAAATTAGGATTTTAAGATATGCAAGGGTTCATGGAGTTGTTGATCTTAAAACAATCAATATTAGCATATATCATTATTTGAAATACTTTCATGCAAGAATCCAAGCTTAGAATCCAAATTGGGGTTTTTAGTGTTTTTGAAAAACATTGAAATCACTTTGATTTGGCTCTTTGATTGAAAGGAGAATCAAAGATAAAGTCCCCATACCTTTGTGATTAAATTCCTTATAAATTTAAAGGAGAAATCAGTAGGAACCCATCCCCTAGCTTGAAGATTCATCACTATCTTCCATGGAGTTCTAGAGAGAGAATTTATTTGAGAGGGAAGGTTCAATTGAATAATGTGGTCTACTTCTAGGTTAAAGACTTTTAATTAACTTAAAATACCCAAATATAGGTAAAATAGTCATCTAGGGCCTTATTAGATCGTGGGGTGAATTTACCAATTCACACCTCACTTGGCCGAAACTTGGCAGTGAAACATGGCACCAATCAACGACCACCATTGACGGACCATCCTGGTAGCTCTTTGTTTGGGACAGAGGCACAGCATTTGGGGCTAAGCTCCCACAACTAAGTGTGGAGCTACGCCCCCTTTTGACGGGGCGTTAATGGACTGACGAGGCGTCACTCTGGGCGTCAAACAAGACTGCCAACACACTGCCTAGGATGCCTTTTATGCCAACATTTGGGTCCTCTCAAAGGACCCTTAGGGTTGTCCTTATGGATTCGTACCCGAATGTTGGGACCCTAAACACGTCTATTAGGATAGTAGGGTCACCCCTACTGATTTTAGACTTCATACGACACATAAAAACATGCAAGACACTCTAGAACACACTAGCACTCAAATGACTAGTTTTTGAACGTCTTAAACGTCTCTTTGACATTTGACTTCAAGCTCAACCAAACAGACCTATAAACACATTTTCAAACATTTATACAAGTTTATCAACTACTAACACGCATGTGAAGTTCTAATTATCCTATTTCATTTTGAGGGGTGTTAAAGTTTATCAAGTCCGACTTCCCACAAGAGAACCTTCACGTTTAGCAAGTCTAGGTTCCCAACATAGATGTTGTCTCATGAGATGGAAACCTCCACGCCTAGAAATTCAAGGTTTCTAGTATCAATCTCCTTGTTCCATAACTATGTGTCCCTCGTAGATCTTAGCATAGTGGATCCACTAGACAGATATTATGTGTGTAGGTCCTACCTAGGCAATTAGTACCCTCTTTTTTCGATGTGGGAGTAGAACACTGGATTTCATGTAGCTCACATGGTCTATGTTGGCTATGGCAATGTCTCCTAAAAGTTAAGAAATGAACTAAGATAAGAATATGAACTCTAGTCATGATTTCTTGAAGAGTTACTTAGTGTAGGTAGGACTATGGACCCTACTAATGCATTGCAAAAGTGGACTCTAAGGGAGGTTATGATTAGGCTATTTATGTACTGAATACTATGGTCTATGTATGTTAATATGAAAGCATGTTAAGGTTGACTTTACTTATGTCAAGACATGAAGTATGATTATGCATGTGAATTACACTTATGACTTCTTAATGGGTTTCCTTAGTATATGTGGGGGTATGGGACTCCATGAGTACATTGAACAAGTGAGCTTGTTAAGGGGTTGTGAGGTTGGTTTATCTATGATATGAACTAAATGAGTCATGACTAATGTTGTACTAAATGAATGAGTCCTTATATGATGTTATGAATAATGTTGGTCTTATGTCTAATGTTAAATGAAGATGCTATGACATGTTGAATATAATGTGCCTAGTCTATGGTGGCTTCTTAGGAACACTTGGTGTGACTAGTATTATGAGATGCTACTTGCACATTGCACTAGTGTGACTTGGGGGTTGTCATAGTTGATGTTTACTATGTGAAGATTATGTCTTATGGTGTGCTTATGAATCTATGAATATATATGGTTGGATTGATGAAGGCTATATGTAAGTTCACCTTTGGTAACCTTAAGGTGATACATTGCACCAAGTATTCCCTAAGGGTTGCTTGAGGAAAGGATTTAAGATAAAGAGAAAGGTTATGTATTTTATGCATTAAATGTGCCTAAAATGTTATAAGTGGCTCTATGTGCTATTATGAATGGTGTCCGTGTGTATGATGATGTATGTGGTTTATATTGTGCCTATTGTATTAAATGTTCTTGAAGTTTCTCTAAAAAGGCATGATGCATGGTTTCCAACTAAATGTCCCTTTTTAAAAGCATGTTTTTGCATGGTTATCATACTTAGAACATTCTTGTACTAAAAC